TTGCTGGCTAATCAAATACTCATTGAATACAGCCGCGTCGGGAACTTTTGAATAAGGTCTCTTACTATTTGGAGTACTACTACTAGAAGACTGTACTTTCACGGGCAAGATGACTGAGGACTCCTTGTTGGGCAAGATGGCTGACTCATGTACAGTCGATGCATCTCCAGCAAGTCAGCAGAGGGGATCCTCTCCAAACTCCTCTCCAAACCCTCCTCAGCCTCACTATCGATGAAGCCTTTCTTCATGTCAAAGTCCTCCTCTCTGGTACCAAGGTTTGCCTTCTTTCCTATCAAGTGATGGGCAAGTCTGGCAAGCTTCACGTATCTAGGCATGTTGGGGTTGCCAGTTGAGCTCTTTTTTTTTGATCGCGTTGTACTTGTTCCTGATGGATTTCTTGCTCCTGTCAAAGGGCCATTTTCTACTAGCATGCTTGGCTACCACCATATCCCACTGTTCTGAATCAATTGGTAGCACCTCCACAATCAACTCCATGAGGCTCTCTAGCTCTTCCTCCAAGTAGTTTACAGTACCAGTTCTCCGGCCGTTGGGGCCATTCGGGATGGGGACGTTTGCATTGTTTGGTTCCATTTTAAGGAAAATAACGCGGGGGATTGGACAATGAGCTCCCTCTTTGAGGTCGGCGTCGGCCTCCTCTTCCTCTCTTTGATGCAACAAAGAGAGGTAATAGAATGTAGTGACTATAAAAACTGATTGTTGGGACATTGGCATTGTTTATGGTCAACTGGGCGCCTTAGCGCCATTGGCATTGTTTATGGTCAACTGGGCGCCTTAGCGCCATTGTCAAATTGAGGCGCCTCCTCTTTTAGTTCTTGTTTAGAACAACGGAAGTCTAAATTTTGGCGGGCCTTTCTGTTGAGTCTTTTGAGACTCCTTGAAGGGACGACTGGAAAATTTTATTTGTGGGTTCCACTCTAGATTTAGAGTTTTTAGAACTGGGTGGTTCGACTGGTTCTAAATACTCTAAATCTAGAGTCAAAAACTCCAAATTCTGATGGACTGACAGACCAAAAATTTAGAGATCTAGAGTAACGGGAATCACCCAATGTGTGATTCCCGTTACTCTAGATCTCTAAAACTCTAAATCTAGGGATCTGGAGTAACAGGAATCAAGAGAACCAACGGACAGACTGAGAGGATGCCAGCTCAATGCCAGTCTTTTCCGGAATCTGGAATCTTAATTATTTTTCAACGTAAAGACTAAAAAGACTCAANCAACGGACAGACTGAGAGGATGCCAGCTCAATGCCAGTCTTTTCCGGAATCTGGAATCTTAATTATTTTTCAACGTAAAGACTAAAAAGACTCAAACGTGCGCCATGGTTCAAAGTAAAACATGAAATTTTGCACCTATACTCTTCTGCATCGATAGCAGTACTCTCACTAGAGTAAAACATGAACTCAGTTTCTGCTTATTATTTCTGATTTGGTACCAGGAAATGAGTTCATGTTCTACGCTACTTAGTAGCCCCTGACTCGTCAACAAACACACTAAAAGACAACAGTTTCCTCCCAGCAAGCCAGAAGGAAGAAAGTTTCATCAAACGCAATGGGAATAGTGGAAGTGATCACGATGTACTGGTATATTCACCTGACAAATAACCAAGAAAGTTACAAGAAGAAGCTCTCTCCCGAGGAGCGTCGAAGGAGGGATAGGAGAACTCCAAGGATTGCAATCAGGAGATATGCTCATTCCCCCTTCCTCCATCTCTTCCACTCAGGGGATAACCAAGCACTACTCAACTGTTGTGGTTTGGATCACAAGGTCTTTAGGGAGCTTGTGGACGTCTTTGCCCCACTATGGAACAAGTTTACTGTCGACAACAACAATGAGATCGTTGAAGTTCCTTGTTTCCCCAGTGGCAAGCCCAAAGGGAAGAAAAGGGAGGTCGATGCAGTCTGTGCAATAGGATTGGTCCTTTACTGGTACAGGACAAGAGGATCTGTTGCAAGGACAATGGCAATGGCCTTCGGCTTAACATCCACAGTGATGTATAAGTGGCTCAAGTTTTCAAGGAGAGTGATGCTGGTTGCTCTTCACAAGCATCCAGAGGCCATGGTGAGTGTCCCAACTG